ATTCCACTAGCGGTCTACTACACAGACAGCCTAAACCCAGTATTCATCGAATCAGCGGTTACAACGCCATGCTTACAAAGCCCCCTCCCCTCCCCCGGTAATGTACGTGCTATATCATAGCCAAAATCACGAAGCACTTGTCATTGCGTTACTGTCCCATGAGGGTGTTGCAAACGTGCAATGTGATGATCCCCTCCACCTCATCCCTTCTTGTCATCACGGTCGCCGTTATCATCGTTATCCCTCTTGTTGTCCTTCTTCAGCATCTTCTTCAACTTCTTCATCAGTGGCTCTCCCGCAGTAACCTTGGAGACATGGCCAGCGTTGACAATATTGTCATACGATTTGAGGTCTTCACTGTGAGCCCTCAGACAGGCCTGGCGCTGACAGGCTCCAGGTTCGAAGTCCTTGCACTTTGCTCGAGCACAGGCGAGTCCCGCGGCCTTGCAATTCAGGTAAGGCTCTCCATGGTCGCATATGAGGCGGTGTTTGTAGCAATTGAGACAGACCACAATGCGGCTGAAGACGTCATTGGCCGAGGGCTCAGCTGGTTCACTTGCAATCTTTAGCACACATCTTCTCGAGCTGACTGCCGGGAAGAGCTTACTCTGAGACATCCAAAGAACGCTTCTTGTTGTCCTTGGTCTCCTTGTTAGATCGGCTGGTCGGGACTGAGGAGACATTGTGACGCTTCGGTGGATCTACTGGTGCGCTCGGAAGTTGAGTACGGAGTATGTTGTGATCTGTGTGGAATTTGTCCCCTTCTTCGAGTGCAGCAACTTCAGCGTCGGCGTGATTCATCTTTGCGGCCAGCATCATGAAATGAAGACTTCGCTCAGCTTTTCGGTGTTGCAGTCTCGATTTGTATACTATGCTCCTGAGCTCGGATAAGTCCTTTATGGTCTGCGTATGAGATTACTTCTCTGCTTCATGGCTTGCCTTTTCCTGATTGTACGCCGCTGTCATGTCTGCCAGCTTGCACTCCAATTGGCGCTCTCGGTCTTCACTGCGCGTCATGATCTTGTCAACAGCTTGTAGATCGGTTCTCGGCACAGTCTTAGACGTCTTTGGTGGGATAGTCGGCTTCGCCTGGCGAAGATCTGGATTCTGGTAGAGGTGTCTACAAACATGGCAGTGCGCGCGTAAACGGAGCATGCACAAGCCTGGTCACCACCACGACGCCAGGTATCCACCCCATTCACATTCACCTCACCTTTGGCCCCAGCTCCGCCTCAGCCAGTAGCGTGCGGACCAGTAATTGATCACGTGCAGTCTGACTAGCGTGGGATCAGAATCCCATAAAAGAAGTACCTCCCCCTCCTGATCTTCTTCTTTTCTTTTCCCTTGGGGACAAGGTCTCTCAGGTAGACAGGTCTAACTGGGCAATTAACCGCTTGACTTCGCACCTAGGGACCCGCCAAGCAGTGCCATGGGCCTATTCAAGACTCAATCCGGATTGACTTCGACCCGTTGGCCGCCGTGGCTGGACGAGGATGCGAGAGGACCCTACAGGAACCGACGCAATAATACGGCCACCTGGTCAGTTGTGGGGTTCTACTGTCAGCGCACGGAACGTTTACGTGTTTCTTCTGGACGGGGTCTCCTACCGATTTTCGGATCGGGTGGCTACTGGTCGAGGTCTTTCATATCTCTTCCTCTAGTGTGGGTGGTTTGACACTGGAGTACTCTATCTACCTTATCCAGCGATGACTCGGTCATACTGCGCGCAGCCTAGTGCTCAAAGCTACGGAAACTTGCAATTCTTTGCAGTTTCAATTTCGTACGGTCACTGTGCGTTGGCCTGGTATCAAGAAGAAAACTGCCAGTGTCGTACCAATTCTGGGCACGCTCACTGCCCCCTCTTTTTTTTTCATTGATCGCCTTCGCCATCAGGCAGGGTGTCGAGGAAGAAAGTTTTTCACATCAGTTTGAAGATGTCAGGGAATGGCCATTGCGGGACCATTCTTTGTTATGTTCATGTTCCTTCCACTGTCTAGCTTTTCCTCACTGCTCTGCTCCGCCCGTGACTACAATGTTGCTTGTATGCGTTATTATATCGGACATGGAACAGTCCTTGAACAGACAGCTACCCGCCAGTCCTTACTCACCTTGACTTGACTGCCTACAAACGCAAGCCCACTGCTACTCCGCTAGAACATAGCACCTGCGCCTGACGCGAGCAAAGGCTCTCAAATTGCCCACTTTGCCACCAACTCCCCATCGCCAAAATCTCACCGTTGCTCTGCATACTCTGCGCAGACCCGCCCACTCCATTCACCTCACAAGCTCTTTTCACGTTCTCCCATTCGTCCATCCATTCAAACACGTCGTCCACCAGCCTCCTCTCTCTATCTTCCCTAAAGATAGCCGCGCTCGAGAGGGAGAAGGAGGATCTCAAGCTCCAGCTCAAAGAGCTAGAGTCTGAGAACGCAGAGCTGAAGGAACAGCTCGATTATCACAAAGGCGAGGGCGATTACGACAGCCCGCTTGAAACGGCCGATTATGACAGCGACGACGACGACGACGAAGAAGGAGACGAGATGACCATGGCATTCAAGGAAATCAGCGGGCTCATAAAGCAGCTTGACGCCAAAGATGAGAAGATTGAGAAGCTGGAGGCAGAGTTAGCCGCCGTGTACAAAGCTACTGCTACAGCTACAGCTACTACTACAGCTACTACTATTACTACTACTACTGCCGCCACTGCCACCAATGGCGAACCAGACCCCTACCACATCAATCTAGCCCTGCGCCCAAAGCCAAAGGGTCACCGTGGCAAACATTACAGGTATGCACCCCCGCCTCAGCCCAACACCAGCTCCTGGCTAACCATGCACAGTGGCGTTTGCAAGAGGCGAGGTGATAAGTAAAGAGGACGGAACGAGTAGAACTCAGGACACAGGAAGTAGCGAGGAAGCAGCGGGTAAAGAGTAGCAAAAGATATCAGAGAGGCTAGGGAATAAAAATGAGGAAGAAAAAGATATGCAAATTACCCGTGTTTGTGCAAGAAGTTGATGGGTTTTGTTGTGGCCGTGAGAGAGAGGGTCCATGGCCTTCTACTTTTTATTTGATATCAAATGTCCAATTGTTTCCCATTGACCGTTGACCGTTGACCTCTAATCTCCCCGAGCCAACGACACCCAACCCAGCCTGCACTCTCCATCTACAAAAACAACAGCAAAATATACACACAAACACAAACACAAACACAAACACAAACACAAGCACAAGCACAACCCACCCCCAACCCCAAAAAACAAAACAAAACAGCAAAAGAAAGAAAAAACCCACGTCTAAGAGCCAGTAACGATGGAAACGACAGGCCATGCGTGTATAGCAAGATAATCCAGCCATGCATACACGCAAAAGCCAAGCCAGCCGGATATATACACCGAGGACCCTCAACCCCAACCCCACCAAAGACACCAACAAAGCAAAGGAAAAGATGGGAAACGCCAGCGCCATGCAAAACAACAAAAGTGAGCGAAAGAAAGAATTGCCATCTCCTGCACCGCTCGAGCAAAAACCCCAAGGACGCGTTTGGGAAAAGATGCGTGTATGCGTGTGTGCGGGATATTCGATGCGTGGGGTCGGATTTAGGAGGGTATCGGATGGTATCGATAGTTGATGACGGTAACGGCGTGATGAGATAGTGAAAGACGGTAAAGCGTGCATCTGACCAGAGGGAATCCATGGAGGCGAGGACTGGGCAACTAACGCACAGCTCAAGACTGTGATTCCGCCGGGGGTTTCTTTTTCAACTGCCGCGACCCAACAACTTCTTACCAAGGGCTTTTGCCTTTTTCCTGGGTCTGTGGGAGGTGACGGTCATGTTAGTTTGCTTTCGCCTACTTGTACTAGGAAAAGGAGGAAAGGAAAGGAAAAATTAAAAAAGACTCACCCATCAACATCCTCATCCCCCTTCTCCCCCCCAACACTCCCATGTACACTCCCATTCCCATACAAACTCGGCGCCGGCCCTCCTCGCGCCTCCCCCCCACCACCACTAACACTACTCCCCGCCCTCTCCCTGCCCCGCATATGCGCCCCAAACGGGCCCACGCCCGTGAGATGTTTACTCAGACTATAAATGAGATTTGCATGCACGGGCTCTGTATTATCCACCCGACTCAGCTCATCTGCAAACGCGCGCCCGTCCTCCAATTCCTCGAGGTTGAGGCTATCGGCATTGGCGCCATGGTGATGATGGTGGTGGCCACTCAAGCCGCCGAGAATGGAGCCATGCGTGGAGCGCGCTTGTCCTGTAGAACTTCCCTTTAGACTACCGGCGCCATTGGTACTGCCATTAGCATTGTTGCCAGATGGACTGGCGTTGTGCATCGAGTGGCCGGAATGCGCGATACTGTGCAGCGAACTCTCCTCTGAAACCGTGCTAAAGGTGCTGGCCGCCCGGCCGCTCGTGAAACTGCGGCGTGGGACAACTTCGCCGCTGACGTCGCTGCCGCCTGGGCTGTGGTCACGCATGGAACTCGAGTCTGTGCCACTGAGCTCAGGGCTCGTGTTGAGTACGGTGCTGCTATTTGCAATTTGGCGTAGTCGAGTTTGTGCCTTGGCTGTCGGTCGGTGGTGCGAGAATTTGTTGCTTACAATGGCGCCTGCGTGGCTCACGAGCGCGCGGATAACATCCTTCTTGAGCGCAAGGGCAAGTTCAAGATTCGACCACGTCTTGTTTCTGTACTCGAGGGTCGGCATTCTAAAAACCAAATCATGTACGTCTTCGAAATTGCGGTTTCCTTTGCCCTTGTAGGAGAGACAGAGCACCATGGAGGGGATTTTCACATAGGCAAGTGTCATGTAGTTACTTGCCCGACTCATCATCTCAGTTAGGTCATCGCTGCGCGCTTCCTTCTTGCTCGGCCGTTTCTCGCTAAGACTGGTGCCTGTGCGGTACAGGTTGAATCGTTTGCCAGTACGTTCCGAGTCGTTGGAGACCATGGAGCTCATGTTCGAGCCAGAGCGGACGGAACTGGGGCGCTTGGGGGTACTGTGCGATGACAAGGTTGGAGTAGCTGCAGAGCTTGGGTGTAGAGTCCTGCGGTATTCAGTCGCGCTGCGCGAGGGCGCGTCACGAAAGAAGCGGAAATAGTGCGAGCTTCCTTTCTTTTCGGAGCTTTTCTTCTTACTCTCTGCTTTTTGGGCGGGACCAGGGAGTTGCAGCGTGGGTGTGAGGCGTTGCTTGAGGGCATCGAGAGCACTATCGTCGGTTGCGAGGGACGCACTAATGCTGGACGGTGTAACAGAGACCATACCATTGTCGTCATCCTCATCCTGGGGTGGTAGGGTATGACTGATGGTAAAAGGCGAGGGGTTACCATTCTGATCTGTCTTACCCTGGAGTGCTGGGAAGATGTATTCAAAAAGCTTCTTGCCCACCTTCCACTCCAGCTGTACCTTGAGCGGGAACAGGTTGACCTCAAAGTGTTCCATTACCGGAATTCCAGCAATGGGCTCAAGCATGACGAACTGAACCTTAAGAGACTTTGCGTCTTTCGGCAGCGGCTGGTTGTTTTCGAGATAGGGCGAGAACATTTCTGGGTACAGTGCATTCGGCAGCAAATTCAGCCCACGAACCTGCTCGACTTCCAACGCGTTGAAGTTGGACCCATCGTTGTTGTCCGTGCGATCAAATGACACGCCCTTGAGCTGAAACTCTGCCAGTGACTCCTGACCCTCGCGGAGCAGATGCCACACAATCTCCGAAGCGGAAACATACCACCTCAATAGCCCGGTAGACTGCTTCGCCTGCGCGCGATCGTCTTGTTTCCGCTGTGCCGTAGTAATGGCCTTCATCACGAAGAACAGCTCGTCCTCATACACTGAAATGTCCTTCTCAACCTCGACGCGATCTTCCCAGCCCTGTCTGTCCAGGTACTTCTCATTGATTTGGAAGATGGTCTTGATCTCCTCCAATTGCCGGATGCGTTCTTGAAGGCCCATGACCAAGTCCGGCGCGCCAACAAGATCCGTAAAGTCGGAAGCCAGCATAATCTTCTCCAATCGCTCGTTGCGAGTCTTTTCCAAAGGCTCGTGGTAGAGCAAAAGATCCAGCACGATGACGTACATTGCATAATACTGTCTCGAATCACACAGGGCCCGCACACGCGGAAAGTCCACCCAAAGCTGATCAATCCTGCACTCTGGATGATGCACTTGAGAATCCGAGTCTGCACCCGATACGTCATCATTGTACTTGAGACGAAGGGTGTTGTACTTGTCGTACCGCATACTGGCCGACGTCCTTTGCACAACACGCTGGAAGCCAAAGGGATTGCTGTAGAATTCGAACATGACTTCAAAGGGTACCCAAGGTGGCCAGGCCGAGCCAGCGGGCGCTCCATAGGTGCTGCCAGAGTACATGTGAATGTCGTCCATACTAACAAACGATTCCGAATTTGTGACAAAGATTTGCAGACTGTCCATGGCAGCGGTAAATCGGCGTTGTACCAGACCGGATACCTCATCCATGACACGGTCCTTGTCCATGATTTGAAGAACCTTGAGTTGCACCCCCTTTGCTGTGACCAATACGGCAGTCTTGGTGTTACGCTCACTTTGGAGCTGTATTTGCGGAGCGATGAGGCGCACGAGGTATGCGTTCTGGGCGAGGTAATCAGCTGCGACTTCTTCCTCGGACTTCTTCCGATCTGAGCCGTCATTCTGCTTGTCTTCATCCTCTGCCTCGACGAACTTTCTTCCATCATTCAAGAGTTGTTCAATGGTCTGGTCAATCTGCAAATCAGCTTCCTTGTCGTCGGGGTTCAGTGTTTCGTCGACGTTTGAGGTAGATGGCCCACGAGACTTGTTCTGCTCCTCCACAACATCGAGTATGAACTTGACGGCCCTTCGCGACATGTAGTAGATAAAGCCACGACGCTGACTGACTTGGTGAATGTACCGAAGTATAATGTTCCGCAGTGAGTTGCTCCACTTTAGATGAATATTATGAATGATGAACCGGTTGTTGAAATCGCTCGTCGTATCAGTAAGCGGTGAAGAGTCGGCACCCTTCTTACTCGAATCGCTCGTGATGTGTTCTTCATTCGCCTCAAAGTATTCATCTTCCCCTTCGGTCTCGACATCTGCAGTGGCAGGGGCGCTTGCATTCATGTCCAAGCGCTCCAGTAAACTTTCGTGCATTGATGTTAGGAACCCCAGTTTTCGTTGTAGAAACTGGGTATGGTTTCTCAAAGTCTCGAGCCGACGTTGCAGCTCCTCCGTGTTTTCGGGTTCGCGAACGACAAGCAGCTCCTGCTCACCCACAGCACGCTCGTTGTATTCCACTTGCTCCTTCACACGCTCGATCCGCTGCTCAACGAGATGACACTGCACTCGTCGCGGATCATTACGCGCTGACATGACGCAGTGATGCGTTGCCTCATTTCCAAAAGCGCTAGTCCGATGCTCGTCTCCAGAGATGTTGTTGGCATGATCGGTTTGACGAAAGTACGTAAAGCGTGGTGCAAAGGCAAGCGGCAGAATCTGCGTCTCTGGATGGCGATTCGAAGGCAGGATCCAGCCAAGCTCGATGAAATCATCCATATCCACCCATCCCCAATCATTGTCGGGAATCGTGAATTTGGAGAGATCCGCCGTGAGGAAATCCTGGTTGAAGCTAGCAAGGTCATCCACAGTGGCATGGTCAACATCGTCGGAATCAGTCCCTGAAATGCTTGCAGACACAGCCCGGACATCTGTCCTGATCAAGTCGAGCTGTACTTGGTTGATTTTCATGCCAGTCGTCTGATTCTGCTGGCTGTCTTTCTGATCCTTGGGCGCCTGCACAATAGTTCGGAAGACCTCTCGTCGTTGATGCAGATCCAGCATGAAACTGTCAAGACGGGCCTTCAACCCAGTAGCAGTGACTGTACCAGCTCCATACTCTTCAGCATCCTTATGCTTGTAGATGTGACTCATGTATAAGGGCGAGAGTAAGAGGTTGTACTTGATGGTCGCCAGATGCCTGCCAAACTTCTTACTGGACTTTTCGACGCCAGGCCACAGCTTGCCTTGTCTGACCGGAAGGGACATGGCACCGGAGAACATGGCCCACCAGCTGTAAAAGTGAGTGAAGAATCGGGGTGTTAGATGTACACTATTATAAGTCTTCGATGGTTCCAGGTTGGCCACAGACCATTCTCGGTCGTAGGGAGCAGCGATAGCAATGGACATGTGAATGTGATGACTGCGGAAACCTCGGAAAGCGTCGTACTCCTGCAAATACTCATCAGCAAAGCCCAAAACAACATGATTCAGACAATACATACCTTGCCATCCAATGGCTTTGCATACTTTGGGTTCTTGAGCAAAACTTTGGTAATGGCGG